GACTCGTAAGCTTTCATTTAGTTTATGAATTTCAATCAGTAAGTTCGTAGTGTCGTCAACTGCATGAAATGGTCGGAATGGTCGGAATGTCATGAAATTTTCGACTCACTTCGTTTGAAGGTTTGTAAAAATCATGTACATTCGTCTATAGTCACCCTATATCTGTAATTTAAACCTCAAAGCGAAGCTAGTGCAGATTTGAAAACCTTCCACCGCAATATAAAAAGCATTGTTAGAAGTTTAAAAAAGTACGTCCTACATTTGTGCACCAAAACCGAATCCAATCACAGATCTGGATATATGTATTTATTTGCCCTAGAGAATAATTCAAATTTTTTGCAGCGAATGCAGGAGAAATTATAAGTAAAGGTTGTATTGAAAAGAATCCCCGGTCTCCAGCTTCTTTTTGTAGCCTGCTCTTTTCAAACGAATCCAAACCGTCGCATGATTGATGTTTAGTGTCTGTGCTATATCCTGACAGCTTACGTGCCCGTCTTGCTCCATCTGTTGCAAAAAAAAAAGTCTCGTCGACTTTTTTAGTGACTGCGAGATACATCTTTGGCATAAAAACTTCCAGAACAGAATCAAACAAACCACTCTTGTGTCCTTGGCCCATGCACAGCGTACATTTCACAAATTTTCTCTTTTTTTTGCAGCGTATTTACCTTTTCTACAGTGAAAAACATCACATAGCGTATTTCTTCAGACATTTCACTCATTTTCAAATCAATATAACTTTTTAGACGAGCTCAGAGTTAGAAATCTATCTTCACAAAACATGCAACATGTGCTGAAATGTGCGAACATTGTGCAAACATTCAGATGAGTGTTGCCAACGAATGTCTGTAAGACCAAGGTTACCTTCAAATGGTTTCTCCATCAGGTTCGCGAAATCTTCTGGAGCAAAATCGGTCCAAGGATCTTTTTAAAAAACTAGCTTTCTTTTCTTCGATGGCTTCGGATCTATAAACAGTTCAATTACTTTGGAGCTTCCTGAGTTTTTCCTTAATAAAATTCCCGAATGAAATTACGGGTGGTAAGAAGCTAACTCTAAATAAGGTGCAGTTGGTAAATAAAGTTTTTAATTTTGTGCAATCAATTATAAATGCTCCCAAAATGCACGACTAGCAGTGTAAATAAAAACTTCGTTTTATTTTGCAATTCAATATCGTACCAGGTGGACATTAAATGTGCCGACGGTCTGTTCTGGTTGTATTCTTCAAGTTATTAGTTTCAATTATGCTTACAGGCTTAATAAGCACACTTCCCGACATCCAATATAACAATTACAATAATTGATTTAAATTAAAATAATTTAACACCTGTCGGCTTTATTCCGATCGCCGTAATAATTGGCTATTACCCCATGTAAGATACGAAATTACCCAGCGTAAAATTGTGTCTTAAGCTCGAGCATGTTTGCTTAATTTTTTGTTTGTCTATCCCTTCATTGTTCGAATGTCTCCCACTTGTGTGTCCATTCGCCCGTTCACTTATCTATTCGCCCACCAAGTTCCCCTATTTATCAGTTCGTCTACCCTACTGTACGGTTATCTATCCCTTCCACCTGCAGTGCTATCCGTTCTTTCATCTGCTTTTCGGTCGCATTTTGTCGAAAATCATCCGTATCGTACCCGTAACAATTGCTTCACAACATTTGAGCTAAAAAATTAAAAGTGCATATAAGCACATAGTCATCGATGACTGAAACAGATCTAATGGTACCCAAAGAGCATCTGGAAGATCTAAGCAATAGTTAATTAATCAGAATAAGGTAAAGGTATCGCTAGCATCGAAGAATCAAATCATTCGTCGCGTACTAGACTTCACTTTCCCTTTGCTTTTCTACATTCGAAAACTCTAAGAAATTTACAATCAGGCAATTTTATGAAAATATAATGATATCCAATATGGACCTCTAAGGAACACATGTTCTTAATTGTCTCTTATGCGCTTTTGATGCGATATTTATTCTGCTTCCTCTTGCCTGTTGATGACAGTCTAAGATGGTAAATTTCCCTCATATGGTCCTTTTAACGGATGACAGAGAAACAAAAGAAATTATTTGCCAATAAATTCCGAATTTTATGTACAAATGTTTTACAAAATATTAGAAACTAACACTTAATGAAAAATTCCTCAAAAAAAGCAAAATTCTTAACCAAATTATGAATCAGTTAGAATGGAATTTCGACACATATCAATTTGAATTTAATTAAAATTAAAAAAAGTAAAAATTAGTTTTAGCAAAACATACAAGATAATAAAAATAAAAAAATAATAATAAAACAAATAAAAACTTTTTTTTTATATAAGTAATTTGTGTAAATTTTATTGAATTATAAATGGTTTCCATTTCTATTATATTTTCTCATTGGAAGGTACTTAATAGTTTCCGCATTGGTCTTTGTATTGTATATATTATTCTTAAGTCGAAAAGACGAAGAAAGCAAAATATTACATATATATAGTTTTTACTGTCTAAAATTCAATAAATTTTCTTAATTTAAAAGTGTTTTTCATTCTTTTCTCTTCTTATTCTTTTCTTCGATAAAATGCTTTTTCTTTTATATCTCGATACCCACTACCTTTACCGTGAATGCATACTAAGTTTATCATCCAATTTTTAATATCCGTTTATTGCTTTTATTATATGACCAATCACTCAGAGAATGCCGCCTATCCGTGCAATACGGTGACGGTCAGGAAAAATAAAGAGCTAGGAAAGCGGCCTAGCTTTACTGAGTGAGCAGTCACTATACGAACGTAAACCCTTCCGCATTGCGAGTTGAATCCGCGAACCCAGAGACTTTGTAGACGTTATTCTTACCCTCTCGGCTGCTCATGATATCATACAGATATCGTATTACCCACAAGTATTATTATTCTACATATATTACAGATGGATATGCCCTTTAGTCAAACTATTCAAGCACAGAGAAGGAAGGAATAAAGCTAAGAAGATGAAATTTATAACAAATATTTTATATAAATAAAATAGACGCATGGCTTAGTAGATGAGCAACGCAACTATGAAATTAGTATACCCGGATTCAACTAGTAACTCGATAGGTTATCCATTAGTGAAGATTGGCTCTAAGCCCAATGCTTGATCAGAAAAAACGACTAACACTTGTCAAACATTCATAAACCTCCCAGGCTGAGCCTGCGTCCCAATTTCCTTTCTACCTAACCATCAAAGCATTTGCACACGTCTAGTAGAATATACTTTAACTAAGATTGGCTCTATAGTGAATACATGATCGAGCGAGACGTAACACTTACCGAACGCGCGCATACATCTCCCACCCTACTCTTTTTCTACCGTTTTTTCCTCGTTGACCGATGCAGTGTTCACGCACGTATAGAAAACATTGCTTGAGTGATTGAGTCATAAAAAATAAATAAAAAAGGAATCACATTACACTTGATGTGTTTTTGAGGTTATGTAATGGCACTTTGCTTTAAATTTCAGAAAATGGAAATTTTATGTAAAAGCAATGCTAAGCATTGTATTACGGTAGAAAATTTACTAGATGGGCGGTATTCACTTGTTTTTGTTTTGTTTCTGGTTGCTAAGCGTATAAAATTCGAAATACCGCAAATGCATTTTGAACCGCAAAGAAATTTTTGCGAAGCGGAATGCGGGCAAGGTTAATCAAAAATTGCCTAAAAGAGTTTATCGTACCTTAGTCAAAATTTCGTCTTTTTCTTGGTTTAATTTGATCAATCACTCAGAGACCGCAAAAAAAGGCGTTGGTCACCGGGTGGAAGGGGAGGGGATAAGAGGTGAGAACATAGCGTTTTGTGCCCGATCAGCATGGCTGTCTACTTGGTAGCCCCGACGCTTCTTTACTCGACTATGCGATTTGCTCTTGTATAGATTTTGTCATTGAAACTCGTGGCTTCAAGATGGCGTTCTAAATCGCGTCTCCATCAGGTCTTGCAGCAAACTTGAAAATATTACGTCACTGTTGGTTAGTATTTCGGAAACATGATATCATACAAACACTATAATAAAAATCTCAAGTTTTTTTTTTCTATGTGACCAATCACTCAGGGGATGCCCCCTATTTGAGCACCGCAGTGGCTCTGCCCCCCAACCGATCACTGTTATGGTTTTGCTGACTGAGCGCTCCCTATAATTACGACAAAAGTGAACTCTCCCGTAAGTGAGGTTTGAACCCGCGAACACTGAGATAATCAATGGTTTTTAAATGCTTGACAGTTTCGTATTCTTAGGAACATGAAGTTTCTAGTTGCACTTTACGCGAGTGGGAGGGACTGTATTTACCCCACATGGTGAAATTTTCTCTCTCCGCTATGTAGATTGCGTAAGAAGTAATAACATACTGATGGGAAAAATCAATGTAATGCAAAGGGAAAGCCAAAATTTTTATATCTTCCATTCGTCTGTCCTCTTCTATGTATGTATTCGCCTTAAATAGGGTGGGTATCGAAGATTTGACCTAAGACGCCTTAAGATATAATAAATTCATTACTCTGTTCTTAAATACATTTTTATTTTGCTTTTGAAAATTCTTCAATAAGTCATTTGGCTGCGTTGTCTGCCAAAACAATAGTTGGTTTATCTTCTTTGGTTGGCAATTATTTCTATACACAAATAAGTTTTCTTAACGCATTGTTTATATTAATAAATATAATAAATAATTTATTCATTTTATTGTATATTTATATTTGTTTATTTACTTATTTTATTTTCATTTACTTTTTCTCTCTTTTTTTTTTTATTTACTTTGTTGGTATATAAAAAAAAAAAAATAAAACTTTAGTTTTTTCTGAGGTGTTCAAAACATTTATAGGTACTCGAGTTATTATTTGTTTTTTTTCTTTTATGATTTTTCATACTTTATAGGCGCATCTAGAATGACGAGCATGTACATATATGTATATACTAAGATGTTTATGTATAGGTGTTTGAATGTGTTCGGCATATACTGATTTTTACAATGACTTTGAAAAAAAAAAAAATTTTTTTTTTTTTTGGTATTTATGTGTTAATTTTTATTAACAACTACAAAAGTACTGAATGACTGATTTGGGAAGAGAACTTTACAAGTACTCTTAGTAAAAAAATAAAAATATATTAAAACTAAAAATAAATTTTTTATAAAAAAAAAAAACACAAATTAAAAAAATTCTCAAACACACACTTAATATCCTTGCTGAACACAGTCTATCTCTGTATTTGATTTAAATGAAATCCTAAACTTACTTATGGCAAATAATTTTTGTACATTTACAGTAGTCTCCTTAATAACTAGATCATAATCTATCTATTGCATATGTATGTATATATGCATGTAAGTGTGTGTGTGGGTGTTTGTGTGTGCATATGTATGCATGGGTATATATTTCTAAACAAAAATTCATATCACATCATATACTGAAACCTTCAGTTTTATTATTTCTTACCACCTTTTGTCTAAAGAACACAGAGAGAGAGAGAGAGAGAGAGAGAGTGAAAGAGAAAGACTGTGTTTCTATGATTTTTCGAGTCTCTTTAAATACATAAGAACTTATGTTTTTAATTATTTATTTTGTCGATTATTGTTCTGTGTGTGTGTGTGTGTGTGTAGGTGTGTATGTGTGCTTATGCATGTAAGTTTGTCACTGAAAAGCATTCTAAAAGCATTTACTTTCATTTTCCTATACAATACTTAAACAATTAAAAACTTAAAGTTATACTTCCGTTGGTCCATCAGCATCGAGAATGGTGACCTGGGTAGTAGTTAAATGTTTCGTACAATTGCTATGTTGTTTACGCGAACTTTTAAAAAACAATTTATACAATTTGTCTTTAACGGGCAATTTACTACTATTAATGTTGTGGTTCTTGCTTTGATGTAGTGGCACTTGTTCAATTATTGTTATACCTCTTTGCAAAACCGGACGTGTTCTGCCCGGCTGTTGTTGCTGTTGCTGTTGCTGTAGCGAATTTTGTCTTTGTTCAGTCTCATCTTCCGTAGTGTTCTGGTGTTCTAGACTGTAAGTGTTTTTCGTTAAACCAAAGTTAATAATTGTACTACAACTGCTATTCTGCCTTAGATTTCCTATAGTAATGTTGTTATTGTTGTTATTATTATTATTATTATGATTGTTGTTATTGTGATTCAATACCGAACATGTACCGGCACCATTGCTAATCACTGAACTCTGCGGCGTGAGAAAGCGCGCTGACGTCGTGGAATATGTAGAGATTTTACTACTATTACGTTTAAGATTTGCATTATATTTGTGAGTGTTATTGCTACGGCAACTATTACTGTTTTGTCGTTGCATTTGTTTTTCACCGCAAACACCTTCCAAATGCATAAATCTTTTAACACCTCGCCTTACGCGTTTATTGCGGTAGGCGAAAATGAAAGGCGAACTCATGTTCGCTAAGAGAATCATGAAGATCGCCAACTGTGAAGATGCCTCGAAATTTGCTGACGGTACTCTACTCTGCAGTAATACTAGGAAACCGTAAGGCAGATACGAGACGAGGAACATTATAACCACTAAGATGCTTATACGGGCCGCCCTTGACTCTTCACGATATTTGAAGAGTGAGGAGGCATTCGAGAGGCGATGCCTCAACGAAGACATATAACTAATGGCTTTTGGTGAAGCTTGTATGGTAGGTATTTGCAACGATTGATGATGATGAAGGTGATGTTGTTGTTGCTGTTGTTGTTGTTGTTGATGTTGCTGCTGCTGCTGATGATGATGGTAATGAGGATGCGTTATTCGAGTACTGACATTAGTTTGCTGGAATGTATGCTTGCCCAGTGAATGCACGCTAGGCAAATTCTGCGGTAAATGTCGCCCGAGTAAATGAGGCGAATATATATTCTCTTCATCGAGTTGAGGTAATGTACCAGTACGATGCAAATTCGGCGACGAATGCACTTGACGTATGCCTGGTAAGTGATGATTATCGCAAAAGTCTTGTGAAGTTGTATCTAGTAATTCTAATTGACGGGCCGAGTAATTACGTTTAATCTCACCGCTGGCTGTTTGCAGTGTTAGTATAATGTGTTGAGGACGTTGTTCATTGCTTGGTTTACCGTCCGATAATGTATCGTTCTCATCCGATTGTCCATCATCGGATATCGGTGGCAGTAACACCTTGGCAGCTGAATCACGTCTATGACAGGCGGGCGATGTACGCTTTGGCAGATCAATTTGCATTTGCAGGCCTCCTCCATGTGAAGAATTGGATGAAATTGAATTGCGATGCATGCATAAGCTGTTCGTATATTGTTGTGTCACTGCCTGATGGGCATGAGTGAGATTCAGAGCACTTTGCAATAAAGGCGATGACCCATTTTGACGCATACGTAAACCATTACCACGAGCCTCGCTGAATATACGCCAATACATACCACAAACGAATCCAAATGGCAGGAGTATAATGATGACAAAATAAAGACAAGAAAAAATCATACTAAAAATGTTATTGGTTGAGCTGAGACTGAAGAAGGTGGCAGTTTCCATAACGAAACGTTTATGTTTGTTGACGATGGTATCGGATTCAAAGTCGATTTCACGGAAGGCCGATAACGCGCCGAACACCAAACCCATTAGCCAAGTTAAAGCGATCAGAATCCAGGATTTTAAACCCGAAATACGACTATGATAACGCAAAGGATCGGTAATAGCACACCAAGTGTCTCCCACTACTAATAAAACACCCATCGCACCTAAAGCAGCCGCCATATCAATTGACCAAGGGCGCATGCTTAATTGCGGCAAATAAAGATGTTTTTTATGATGATTTTTGACAACCTTAAGCAAATCATCGGAACTCTTCTCCTCGATTTCGGTAATAACCAAAGTCTCACCACTCTCATCAATAGTAACTTCATGACAATAGGTGGCATTACATTTGTAAATAGTTTCAATAGTGTGCTCCGCTTTCTCCTCATCTCCTCCATCGCCAGTTGCGATCAAAAATTCGGTAACATTGCTATATTGCAGTATGATGCCTTCCTGTTGTACCACTTTACCATTATGACGTATAACGATTTGATGATTACCTGGCTTCGAATAGAACTCTATACTGTCATCGCTTGAAATCGATGACGCTGATGACGATAAAAAACTGAAAGCAGACTCACTGGAACCGGTTGAATTTTTATGACCATCTATTCCGTTGCCACTTAAAAATAGCGTAGGCGCTAAGATAATACATCCCACGAGATTAATGATGAGCAAATTGATGGTGAAACGATTGGCCGTTGTACGTAGACCGGGTGTCACCCAGAAAGCAGCCAAAGCCAAAAAATTAATTAAAAACGATATTAGGAGCACAGCGAATATTAAAAAGTCTATGGCCATTATTAAGCATAATATGCGTTTATGTTTAAATAAATGCTTTGGTTTAGTTTAGTTGAATTTAGTTTTGGCTTTTTGGTTTAGTTTTCCAAATCGAGTTTGTTTCTCTTTATGGTTAACATTTCAAACTAACATATAGTTACTAACTATATTTTGTTTTCTCTTTTTTGTTTTGCTTAGTCTTGTTTTCTGTTTTTCTTCAAAAAAAAAAAAAAAACAAAAGAAGTCTTTTAATGAAAACAAATGTTTTTTCTTTTCTTTATTTTGCTTTTGTATAAATTTTTGTGTTACAACACTTAAGTCTCTTTTACTTTATTTATGGCCGGATTCTGTTTAAGAAATTGTTACATAGCTTTTCACTTTTTTTTTTTTTAGTTTGGTGTAACTACTTAAGAGTTCTCAGCTCCGGCTTCTTGTGTTTTATTAACAATTTTTTTGCTTTTTTTTTTTTTTTATTTACGAAGTTTGCTTATAACTCACTTAACTTGTGGTTTAATTTATTGAAACATATTTTTTGTTTATAAATTAGTTCGTACATATAAATGTTAAGGATGTGTATTTTGCTTTTATTTATTTATTTATTTTTTTTTTTTTTTGATGTTACATTTAAACGCTTAAGTTATTCATTAATTAATCAATCATATTTTACAAATCAACTAAAAGTATTTTCCACACGAACTTTGAATTGTTTTTTTTTTTTTTTCCCTTTTTCGTTGCAATCGATTATTGGAAATGATTTTTATGAAAAAGAAAACAAAAATCAGCTAAATTAGAAAATCGCGCCAATTTTGCTTTTCTTTTTTTCTCCCTTACAAACCGTACGATTAAGCGTTTCAAGCACAACTGATTGTTGGAGCATTAGCAAACGATCTTTTTCTGTAAATGCGCTCGCAATACTCGCGCAGCTATTCGCAAGCTAAGTGCGATCGTATATAACTTCAAGTGCGTTTATAGCAATGACTTGCCGTGTTGTTTTTATTGGTTTTTTTATTATTATTTATTTTTATTTTTTATTTTTTTTTGCTTTTCTTTATTTTTTAGATTCGCGTATACGAAAAGCTCTCATGTCACACACCCACCAATGACGATTTGCTTGGTAAGTTTCGTTCGTTTCTGGTTCTCATCTAATAATTTCTTGGGAGAATTTCTTTATCGTTGTTTTTTTCTGCTAGAGAGTTGAAAAATCTGTGCACCATACACTCGTAAAAAAGTTCCCACGCTCAGTCTTTTATTAGTTTTGTTGTTTCGGGTATTATTATGTGTTTCGAGGATCATATGAAATAATATTAAAAATAGTTTAACCAAACTTTATAAGTGATTTAAATATCGCGAGAGAGAGAGAGAGAGAGAGAAAGAGAGAGAGAGCAAGCGAGAAGTTTATCTTTACAACTACAAAAGATGCTCTCTCTTTTTAACTTTCTCTTGCCTTGGCTTTTTGTTTATTATTTTATTTTTTGTGCTTTCGTTTTGTTTTGTGTATGTTTTGCCAGCTTGTCTGTGTAATTCCCCCGGCAGTTAGCTAGCTATGCGTGCTTTTTATCTATTTTAATTCGCACACATATCATTTTTGTTTATTAACGATTCTCATCATCACAGTTTTCACCATGTCTAACTGACTTTATATAGTGTAGTAAGTGGTTTTTTTTTTTTTTTTTTTGCTTTTTTTTCTTCAATTCAATGGCTAACCACCACTTGTATGTATGTATAACCGCATATAGTTCCGCTCTTATGATTTTTTTCTTATTTTGTATGATGAATAGGAAAGCAATAGTTTAACGTAATAGTTGAGTTAAAGCCTTTTCAGTGCGCCTTAAGCATCTTATAAGCCGTTAACCATGTCTAGACATTTCAATGCAAATAACGTCGCAAGGCAAGGGTTTTCCTTCAACTGCAATGGAGAGAAGATAAAGAAAAAAAAAAAAAAGAATGTAATTTTCTTTTTGATATTCTTAACATTATGGAATATTATTGCTTTGATTATAAACTTATTATTAACTTGTTTATATGCATACATTTGTTAAGGTATTTTGCAGCAGTTATGGAAAAGTTTCCACACGTTTAGTTTACCACGCTATGAATCATTAACAACTAAATTGTTAAAAAGCGAAACAGATATCTGTTCTTTTATTGCAAGAATCAGTTTGCATGCGTGTGTGTGTTTGTTTGTTTGTGTGTTTGTTTGTTTGTGCGTATGTTTATATATATATATATATATATATATATACACTTCAATTTATCTTTAAAAGTTATGCAGGCACTTTTGTCAAGTTTATCAAGCAGGTGAGATGCGCTTTACTGGCGGAAAAAATGCAAAAAATTGTGTTCGGTTTAGAACGAATTCTTTCACACTCAAAATCGCTAACTGAGATAAAGCTTTTAGCTTTTCTTCTATCAATACATCAGCATATCTTATTAGATGGAAAAGTTGACAACAGTAAGTTATGTAAGATTAAGCAATCATTTAACATAAGTATAATACAACTGCAATACAGATAAAGTACTGCAAGCAAATAACATAATATGTTTGATAACATAACAGATGCAGGGACCTAGAAATATTAACAGAAAGATTGCTGCTCAAGCAAACTTAAAAGACAATGCTTGCTCTTTAGTAAATGGGCTTGAGTCAATGAAAAGATTTGTTTGAGTTTATAACTCGATCGAAAGAATGTTGAAAAAAACATTATTTAATCACAATATTAACGGAGGAGTAGACTAACATAACAAAATCGTTAAGCACAAGTTGTAAGCCCCTTAACCAAGATCTTATAGCAATGGGATAATTGAATAATAAATTTTAAAACCTGGACAGATGAATAGATTAATAAAATCAGTTACTGGTGTAAATAGATAGAAATGTTTTTTCATCCTAAGCATCAGTTTGGACTTCTTAAACTTGAACTTCAGCTAGTAAAGTTAAGCTAATCAAAATTTTTTATTAGACAGACAAAAAAATGGTTAAAACTAAATCGATTCCCCGGCCAATGCCAAGCAAAAATGCACGGAATTCGTTCGGGGTTTTTGATATGTAAACAATGTTTGACAAACTTAACATACCATCCACCTTGTATACTAAAGATTGAAATATATATAAAAAAAAAATTTTCCAGAATTTTAAATAACAGTGAGATAAGCACAGAATCGCTTTCTTAGATTATCAAGCAGCCAGTAGAGCAATTTGCATAAATAGGGAAAAACAAAATCTAAATAAGTTTAATTATACCTTACGTATATTATGTAGACTTTTAATAAAAAAATTCCTATAAATATTAAGGACTCTAACAATAACAAATCGGTTGACCCCAAATTTTAGCCTTAAAGTAAATTTCGCGGCAACCAAACCGCAAGCACACCTTAACCTCGTATAAAATCAATTCCATTTTTTTTTTTCTCTCCATTTTTTATTTAATAATATATCATATTTTAATGAGTTAAGATTATGAATGAAAGTTGAAAATATTAATCTTGAATGCTAGTAATTAGATATTAACAAATAATTGAGTGAATAGTAACAAAAATCATAAATTAACGAATAATTGAAAATACGAATAAAAAAAAAAAAGTGAAAATTAATAAATTAATTGACTAATTTATAAAACAATTAATTAGATTGCATTCATGGGTAAATTGATTTAAAGTGAAAAGCAACGAGAGACGAATTCCTTTATATTCAATCACTAACTTCCAATCATACATTTATGGTTCTGCCTTAAGTTAATCGTAAACATAAGTACACTCATCGCATAGTTAGCTTTACCTACTGTTTACTTAATTAATTCCTCTTAATTAATTATTACTTAATATTTTGTTACATTCTCAGCCTAGTTTCCGGCTGATTTTATTTAAAAAAAAAAAAAATTTCAGAAAAGTTTCATTTGTAAGTGAGCTTGATTCTACTAAACAGGTATATCCATAAGGTCGAGTTGTAAGTTACTTCCGATGCAAGTAGGTAGAATCTATTGTTCGTATTTACCTATTATAAGTCACCGAAACAAACTTGTTTTTCTTTTCACTATATAGATGAGGATTCAGTTAGTCTTCTCTCAACTGTTTTGTGTGGTGCATGTTGCATTCAAATGTTGTTCTTAATCTCTGAAATGGAGGTTAAGAAATGTAAGGCTTTGAGAACTTAAACAAAATAATAGCGCTAAAATGATAGCTGGGAAAATATGCAGCGTATACGCTAAAGGGCTCATAACTGATCGGGCAGCTAGAAATTAATTTGCAAAACGTTCTGAAGATACGACCTTAAAAAACAAGCCGTTACGTCTTTCCGACGTTCACGACAAACTTTTAAAGGCAATATTGAAGCAAAATCCCATGCCAATCACCAACAGGTATAGCAAAACGATTGAATACCTCATGATCAAAAAAATAAATTAATATAACTTGATTATTCAATGAGAGTGTAATGAGAATCTGATAAAAAAAGGGAGGCTACTTATGACTCCACCTAACAATTTTCGTAACTTTTAATAGTGCTTTGCGAAACACAAGCAAATCGTATCATCAAACTAGTTGGTAAAGCACAACTTTGTTAAGTCAGTTTTCAATTTGAGAACCACTGATAAAACTTCTCCTTAGGTGGATATCATCCTTAGTTCGATTGAATGTGCGATACTCCATTTACTTAATTTATTACCCGAAAAGTGTTTTACTTTAAGCAATTATCTTGTTGCTGGCCGGGGGTGGGGGAGGAGACGCATGCTTTCTTTAATTTTCTTAACTTTTAAGAGTACAATAGAGCAAAATATGACAGCACTTAGAGGGACTGTACTAGAACTGAATTACCGCATATGCGATTTTGCGCAGAGTTCAAACTCTCCCCTCAGGCCAAAGCCGGCTCATTTAACATTTCTATTTATGTAGGGACTAGGCGATATTTACTTCAGGGTAAACACCAGTGCCACCATTGTACTCTCTGCAGGGACATACCTAGAAGCCAAAAGTATCATCGCATAGAAAAATACTTACGGCTTCATTGAAAAAAGGGTATTTTTTCGTTATTTAGGATTTATCCTAAAAAGCAATAAATGGTAGACTTTTTTGCCGAGTCGGTATACCCGTCTTCAGCAGATGCAGCGGGCAGGGATATAGTCATAGGTACATAGGTAAACGCTTATTAATGTGGTGCACAACTGCCACGCTTTATCTTGCCTCTTATCCCCCTCCACTTTTCTCCAACATCACCATAATAAACATATAGAAACCATCCC